CTGATGCATGCGAGGTTTGCCCTTGGAGTTGGAACTCATACTGACTACTTGGGATCCCTAAATCCACCGAATTTCAGTTCTCAACCGTCATCAGCCTCTGGAAAAGAAGCAGAACAACAGTGGTTATGGAAGCAAGCTCTGAGCGTGAACATGGAGGATATCATCTACATTCATCTTCATCAACGAGGTCAGTACAGAAGTGTCAGCTGCGCTATGACGGTCTGGGGAGAGCTCTAGTTTCAGATGAATCCTCGCCATCGTCGCTCACCTTGGTGAACTGTGACGGGGTGCAGTGCCCTCCGCTACAGATGTCCGCCGGTCAGCACTCACTCGTCTTCCTGGCCACCTTGGAATCCGGCTTAGCTCCTATTCATCGTCTTGATCCTCCACTTTGGAGTGGCCCTGGAAAAGGTAGCGCTCAAGCTTAATGCTGCCGTAAATTTGAGCTAACAAAGTGTCACTTTTCCAGAGAAGTCATTGCCACGCCTCCGCAAGCGCACGACAGCAGTCGGAAGCGGAGCGATGCTCGACTACGTGTTTCGTATCGTACGTGTTGGAGGAAACGACTTTCTGCCTACCTACAGGCATGAAGACGAAGAAGACGCTCGGTCACCTCCGACTGTCGAGAGGTAATTTCAATGGCTTTTCAAGTACTTATCATTCCAGTTACCGTAGTCCTGTTACACTCGCGCTTCGTAGTGATGTTTTAAAGAGCCGCTAAGAGCCGAAGCGGTTGTACAAGCGCTGTCCAGGTCAACTTGAATTGCCCAAACGCGAATTCATTTTGATCATTTGGGGCTTAGAAAACAAGAAATTATTTCTGCGATTGTTTCGGTTTGAAACTCAATACTTCGATCCCCCCCCCCCGCCTTCGCCCCTCCTGTAACCTCCTTCTTCGAAGAAGCTATCCAAGCTCTGCTCAAACAATTACCCACAACCCAGTGAGTCGAGTAATGCCCCTGTCTCAATTTTTTGAGGCCGGCTGGAAGCTGCTTCTCTTGAGTTCATCCCGCTAATTGAAGACATGAAGGTACAGCTCGGACTTTTCAACAGTTGAGGTCGGGTTTCAGCTCTCATAACCCTCGGTAAACGTTCCAAGTGGTTTTGAAGGGTTGAGTCAAGTAGTCCGTCAACCGACAATTCCAACATGTAGGAAAGTTCAAACAGTCACGAATGCAAAGGGGACAGGGCTACAGAGCGTGGCACGTTGCGCGCGCGATGATTCACACTGCCGCTTTAGTGAGATGCGCCCGTCTTTTGAAAAATCCAGGGCCTTCCAGGGCCTCATAGAGAAAAAAGTTTCCTCGCAACTCGATCATATCTCATCCCTGCCTCGGCCAATCTCTGATGGGCGCGTGACTCTTCAGAGAAGGAGACTTCAGGCAAAATAGGGTCGCGTAGCGCGGTCTTTGTAAGACAAGTACTGAGGGTGCGGAAGTTGAAAGGATTAGGTCAAGCGGCGTCCATCCCCGGGGAGGATTGACCCTGTCCTGTTCTTTGCTTCCTTTGAAGCTTGGTGACTTATGCGGAGAAATGCTAAGGCGTTTCATATGCGTGATTTGAATTAGTCGGCTGATTACTTCATTCCCTGGTGACCAATTAGAGTAATTTAGTTGGCATCACAAACGCTTTCTCCAAGAACGTAACTTTCCCATGGAAACAAGTGACCGTCATTGCTTATCCAGAGCTTGACCCTGAATATTTCTTTCTCGACATATTTCTTGTGCTGGAAATGGGGCTTAATCCGACTCTCACAACGAGATTTCGCCTCTTTCGAGCCCTCCAGCGTTTCGAAATCTGATAGCTGTTAAGCGATATCCAGCGACATAAAGCATCAGGATCTGCGATACGTGGGCGTAATTGGGAAGACGCCACGGTCGTGTTTCAACTGCGCTTGCCGAGCGCGAAACGTTTACTGTGTGCATGCAATTTCAGTTCGATTGCCACGAAAAAATGCTCCACAAAAGGGCATCCGGGCAGCCGGAAATGTCTTTCTCGGCGGCGTTCATTGTCACAGTAAACGATGACATGCGTGCCCCATTGAAGGAAAAAAAAGAAGAGTACAAAGGGCGTGCATATTTGATTCGAAAAAGGCAAGCTAATGAGATCTCTAATGACACAATAGGCAACTTAATTCTTTTTAGGTTGCTTCCTGGGATTCTTTCGTACTGGGATACGGTAGTATTTACAAAGCCAAAGAAATGCCATTTCTGTCAGAAATTTTCAAATTGTCGTTACCACAAGAGTACTTGTAGAA